TTATAAATCTCTCTCCTCTTCCCTCCTCTTCCTCTCTTTCTGAGGGCAGAGACAGCAGATGTGTTGGCAGGTTAAATGACCTCTGTGATGTATGACTTAACAAACCGCGGGCATCCATCAACCCAAACCTAAGTGTGTGTGTGTGTGTGTGTGTGTGTGTGTGTGTGTGTGTGTGTGTGTGTGTGTGTGTGTGTGTGTGTGTGTGTGTGTGTGTGTGTGTAACAAAGAGACGCTACTCATAAAGTGCATTTTCAATTTACCCTCAGCCCAAACTTGCCTCTCACACACAGAGGCCTCCCCTCTCCTCACCTATGAAGCAGTTCTCCCCCACACATTATGTCCCTTCATTTTATGAATGAGTGTGTCTCCTGGCACATGTAGATGTGCTGTATGCATGAATGTGAATGAAGCACCGCCACAGTCTAATTACTTAATCCATGTTTCCCTCAGTTCTGCTGCAAAGAAACACAGATGAGACATGCCCTCTCTGACCCCTGTATGTGTGTATGTGTGAAGGAGAAGCTCTCTTTGATGAAAAATATGCATCTGCATGCAACAATATTAGTCATGTGAGCACTCCTTTGTTATGCCTTGTTTTACTAGTATTTCCCTGCACTAGTCTATGATTATACTCTCTGAACCTGTTCATTTTTGTATAGATCCAGACAAAGTAGCACGTCCAGGAATTTCTTTTCATTGCAAGACAGGGTTCTTTTTTGTATTCCCCAATTTCCAAGAGAAGAATTCTTGGATTTTGATTGTGTGTGTGAAATCTGGTGCAGCTTGATTGAATGTAAGGGGACAGTGTTATTGGAGGTATGTGCTCTGCCATCCTATTGATTCTGTAAGTGCAAATGAACGAGGGATCTTGTAAAATCGCTTATGTGAATGTTTTTTTTCTTTTTCATCACTTTTTCCTGACTGTGCTGCCACAGTCGTCCATCTGTGGCGTGCTGACAGACGGCGGACGCGCCCCCCCTCTCCACAAAGTAATTACAGGAAGCCGAGGAGGAGCTGCTCCAGGCACATCCTGGCACACAGCTCACCTGGAAAAAAAGTTCACCTTTGGGTGAATCTTCTCTGCCAAGTGCCCCTACACTTACACCAAGGGGATGGAGCAGCTGTAGTTAGCTTGATTTCGTTCTCTTACAGTGGATCCAGTGGTGACTATTATTTTGTTGTCCATCTACAGCGGAGAAGAAGCTTATTCTGGAGGAGAGTTTTTTGTTTTGTTATTGAGTAATGATCACTAGCTAACTGGAATCCATTTTAACAGATTGACCACAGCTTTTATTCTCCATCCATGAACAAATTTCAAGACTCAAATTGGAACTTATGGGAGGAGTATCAAAATTACACCAATATTATTAATTCATACAACAATAACATCAATTAACTAACTGCTTTTTATATTCAGGGTACATGACATAGGGAACTTTTCCTAAAATGAATCATGACAGGGATCATTTTCAGACTCAAGCTCAACCTTTTTAAAGAGAGATGAGTCATGTTGTCAGGAATGTTCTGGTGCTTGTTTTATGGCATTTAATTGTATAATCTTTTATAAAGTATCATTTCCTGCTTTGCTTGTGTCTTGTGCCATGTTTTAATGTAGTGTCTTGCAGACTTTTGTGTTATATGCTGCTATTTTAGTAGGGATAGGGATAGAAAATTATTTTAAACTAAAAAGTATCTGCTGTTGGTTTGTCCTTGTATAAATGAACATTTATTAATGTACAGATAAGGGTAGAGATGTAACTTTGAATCGTTTTACTAATTATATCTTAATTGTCACAGATTCACAAAAAGACGGCACAGAATCTCCAACCTATTTGGGATTTTTTTCCTTCTTTTTCACAAATGGATGATTGTAATGAATGTATGTTCAGCCGTTCGTCTTTTGACTTTTGTGATTCTCCCACTAATTGTCTCAGCGGGGGGAAGCTGACCAAGATGGCTGTGCTGCCCTCTGGATCACTGCGACTATCGCTGTGGCAACAAAAGAGGGGATGAGGAAAACAGCAAGGAGAAATAAAACACTTCACCCACCCCTTTCCCAGAGAAGTGCCAGATCTTTATTTCACTCCTTTCTTTCCACTCTCTTCTGTCTCAGTGCCCACAAAGTGACTGGAAAGCACACGACAATCTTTTTTGTTGTCGTTCGATGGCGCGTGATAATGTGGTCATTATCATCGCTAAGGGAACAGGTTGGGGCTCAGACAGGGTTTCATTGGGGGTCTTTAAAGGACACACACACACACACACACACACACACACACACATATAAACACATACACACTTTCAGTGTGGGAAAAGAATGCTTCTAAAAGAGGGACAGCTGTTTGGGTGGCTCGTGAGGATGGCGATCAGGTTAAAGGGATGATGGCCTACTGTAGACTCCACCTGTGCATTCAGCCACGCCTGAGGCTGTGGGGGGAAACAGGGCTCAGCGTGGGAGAGTGTGATTTTCTCCTGTCCATTGCTATGGCTGTGTATTAATGTTTGCGGGCTTCCCAAAATGAAATAAAAATAGATCCCTGATAGAGCTCATTTTAATCTGATTTGTCAAGTGAATACTCGCAACTGACTTCTTCAAAATCCCCAAACTACAGTGGACAGTCCTCGCGAGAGCAGAAACTACGAGGAAGCGAAGTTGACTTGAAGACATTTAAAGTTTCAAAGAACAGACAGAAATTCAAGCTCTCTTCTGCTGGCGTGAACCGTTTGTCTTTGCGCAGCATCACCAAAATTAATCTTGCCCACTATCAATCACATGGTGTGAATGCTGGGTTGGAATGTGATTAACTTTTCTCTGTGTGTGTGTGTGTGTGTGTGTGTGTGTGTGTGCGTGCGTCAGCTGATTTCATTCCAGCTGCTCATAGAACAAGAGACGAGGGAAGGACAGGGAGGCAGTTAATACCAAACCAATGAGTGAAATTGATTAAATCTTGCTGTTTTATTAAATTTGAAATTCAAATGAAACGCTCCCTCTGCATGTGCTTTTGAACATAGGATGGCTTTAGAGGCCGGGGATAATTCTGGGTTATTTCCAGGGCGTGCGTCACTATATTGACTAACTATCCATGACTTGAAAAGGATTGGAAGTATTTAAACCTTCACACCCAAGTTATTAAAGTTGTTGCTCGCAGTTCATAGTCTGAGTCCGAGCTTGGTTTAAATGATTAACTGCTGCGTTTAAATGATTTGCAAAGTTGAAAAACCGGACAGGAAGAGGCGTTTTAGTTTTTTAAAGACAACATTTGTTTTCAGCTGAATGAGATGAAATTGCAGAGGCAGTGGTGGTAGTTTCCTCCCTCTCCTCCCCCAGGGCTGACTGGATACGCCCCAGGGACAGGATGGGACGGACGGGGCCGGCCTCTCATTCATCAGCCTCTCCCTCTGCGTGGCTTCAAAACATCAGTGAAAACAACAGCCTGTGGAACTGAGACAAAGTGTTTCTGTCCGACACATCAGGTCGGGTCGCTTCAGACTGTCAAGACCCTGAAGCACCTTTACTGAAAGACACACTCAATTAAAACTAGTGCTGGAAGAAGTGGTCACATCCTTTACTTAAGTAAAGGTACTAATTCCAAACTTTAACTATAATACTGCACTACAACTATTCAAAACCTTAACGTCAGCAAAATGAACATAAAATAAACATTCTTTTTATGCAGTAAAATGTTTTTCTATCTGGTGTTTCTGGATTAATATTCCTGCTGCATTTTACTGCTGTTGCTGTTTATAGTTGAGCTCATTTGAAATACTTTATACACTGTTGTTGCAGTATAATCCACAATAATTCGCCATACGTATAAAAGTCCTAACTTTTTATGAATTTTAGAAAAACAGCCTGTTTTCAGCTTTGTGAAGATGCAATTTCTACCTGATGCAAGACGCTTTTATACTAATTATCTCAACACATAAAGAAACACGTCATCCTTCAGTTAATCACAAACTTTCAACATCAACACATCTGGAGATAAATGGTTTACACTTTAAAACTCTCAGACAAGTGTGGAGTAAAAAGTACAATATCTCTGTTAGAGGTGTAGTGGTGTAGTAGAATGTTGCATAAATGCCAATACTAGTAAGTACAAGTACTTCAAATATGTACTTGAGTATACAGTAGTTGAGTCACCAGCACTGATTAAAACTGTCCGTGTCCCCCTGTCTGGAAAGTGTTGATTTGTTAGAATTTTGTGTGAATTTGTTGGATACATTTTAGGAGACAGAGTTTGAAAACGTGATTCTATCTTATTTTACTCTTATTAATTTTAACAAATAAATAACTGAAGATTTACTATACACTTTTCAACCAAATGACCCTATAAACTCTGCGACAGTCTACTCGTCCACATCAGGACCTCACCAACCCTTGGACACTTTTGACACCCGAAAAACGATTTATTTCTCTCTGGCTTTTAAAACAGGTTTAGACTTGTATTCATGTGGTTTTATCTTATTTCACTCTTTTGTTTTATCCTTTTATGTATCTCCCTATTTTAGCTGTGGCCATCCTCTGTAGTTATGTTATGTTATTTATGCGGAAGGTTTTGTAAATGGAATTTGTATCAGTGAATTGTTTTGTAAAATTGTATTGTATAGCACCGAACTAAACTAGACTAGACGAAACTAAACTAAACTAGACTAAACTAAACTAGACTAAACTAAACTAAACTAAACTAAACTAAACTAAACTAAACTAAACTAAACTAGACTAAACTAAACTAAACTAAACTAAACATCTGTCGTTTTTAACGAAACTTTACAAAAAAGTTGACTTAACTTGATGTCCGAGAGAAAAGAAAAACAATAATAAATCCAACATCGTCTCCCCTCGCGAGATTTCGCTTTTATAATTTACGAGCGTAAATGTCCTCGGACAGTCCGAGCTGTCCTCTGATTGGTCCTCAGGCTGTCAGCGGACACTTCAAAGACACAAGGAAACTACAACTACAGCAGTCGCAGAGAAACACACACACTCACACACACTTTTCATCACAGACAGCCACTGCGAGCACAACACACACTCACACACGTACTCCCTCTCTTCCTCACACACCAACACACACACTCAGCAGAAGACAGCGCAGCACGGACCATGGCTGCTACACTGCTCCAGGTAAGTTTATATTTATTTGTCTAAGCAGATTTTACGAAGAAATTGCAAAAGCTTTTCGTTTATTTCGGTTTAATATCTTAACATAGCTCAGTGTATCGCAGTTACATTACCTAATGTCCCTGTAACAATAATATTCACAGTCTATGATAATAAACTAGACGATTACCATTTTCTTCAGTCATAATAAAGATCTGCAGTTGTTTTCGTCCCTTTCTGTTAAGATGTGGTTTAAATGAAAGAGTTGGTTACGTTTAAAAACATTGTCACTGTAACTGGATTCATCTAATGGAGGAAAGTGTGATCCATTTTATTTCTATTCGTACATGAAAGGTTTACCTGCTGCAGTGTCGGTGTTGTTTGAAGACATGTGAGGCAAACTGATTGAAAAGGGTAGCAACAGATGACTAGGGTATCTTTGTGCGTAATTACGCACAGCTTGTTTAAGCTGGGTCTCTGGAGTGACAAGTCTCCACGTGTGGTTGTTTCCCTCAGGAGGAGCCTCGGCTGGGCGGCACTCCGCTGGCCATGCTGGCCGCCACCTGCAGCAGGATCGGTGAGGCCGGACCCTCCTGCTCCCCTGCTCTCTCCGACGGAACCACGGGACTCGCAAAGGGCTTCCACTCGTGGAGGGGCGGCGCCCCGGGCACCAGCGGCCTGGGCATGTGCCTCACGTCGCTTGGGGTTCCCTCTGGGACACCCAGGAGCGGCGGGCCCGGACTGACAGAGACCTCCAGCGCTTTTTCAGTGACCACTGCCAACTCTCCTTTTGGAAACGATTTTTCGATGTACCAGACCACCGTGCCGTCAGACAGCAATGTACACGATCCCACTCATGCGCAGCGGTCTGTGTTTCTCACCAAGTTCCCCTCTTCGGTGGAAGGTATAGCGGGGATATATCCCAGGATGCACGCACATCCCTATGAGTCGTGGTTCAAACCGATGGGAGAAGTCGGTAGCGGATCCTCTGCATGGTGGGACATGGGCACCGGCTGGGTGGACGCACAGCCCCCTGCCCGGTTACCCTCACCTCTGGGCGGCTACAGCACTGACTACAGCTTCAGCCCCGGTGCGCCTCAGCACATGCTCCCTACCTCTCAGAACCTGTTTGACGGATTCAGGCCTCCAGTTCATGGTTCCTACACCGAGTCCACGGCCACAGGGGCGTTAACTGGATCACCTGTCGTGTCTCTGCCCGCGTCCTCCCGCTCCTCCTCACGGCGCTACTCCGGCAGAGCCACGTGTGACTGCCCGAACTGTCACGAGGCGGAGAGCCTGGGTCAGGGGGGCTCGAGCCCGCGACGGAGGGCCCTGCACAACTGTCACATCCCAGGCTGTGGCAAAGTCTACGGCAAGACCTCCCACCTGAAGGCCCACCTGCGCTGGCACACCGGGGAGAGGCCGTTCGTCTGCAACTGGCTCTTCTGCGGGAAACGCTTCACGCGCTCCGACGAGCTCCAGCGGCATTTGCGCACGCACACCGGGGAGAAGAGGTTCGAGTGCTCAGTTTGCCGCAAACGGTTCATGCGCTCCGACCACTTGAGCAAACACGTCAGGACGCACAGCGCAGACGGCTCGGAGGAAGGCTGCGACGCGGGACTCGGTAAAGCGAACAGCGACACGGACACCAGCCTGTCCGGGAGCCCGAGCCAGTCCCCCGGGCTGCCCGCGCGTGAGACTGTCCCCCCCGGTGAGGGACAGAGGGCGGTGGAATAAATCCCACAAATACAAACGCATAGAGCGTGATTTCCCGAACACTTACAAACTGAAATGGCACTTTATCATGAACTTCAGCTGTGGATAAACACTGTCTTTACCTCAATTATCATATTTGTAGCCTTCTTTGCAAAATAAATTTTTACCAAACAGTTTATAAATGTTGTATTATTTGAAGATTTGTTATGTCTTATTTATTCTGCAGTTATTCTCAGTTAGAAATAAACAAGTAGCCTTTCACTTCGTTTTTATTCTTGACAATTTTTTGAATTTCAGCTTTAAAGCCATTACCTAAAAGGTTTTTAAAAATATATATTTCGTTGATATAATTTTGTATAACTGACCTTTGCCTGTTTGTCATGATTATAACTCCTATTGATCAAACGGGACGTTTTTGGCATATATTTACATATGATGTTGGGCCTGTTGGTCAGAGGCCTGTAATATAACCAAAGCATTTTTTTTATTGTAATTTTTAATTAAAGAAAACTTTTTTCTGAGATTAACAAATCTAAAACAGTGTTTAACTAATATCCATTATCCTTCCTGACTATTAAGGTGAAACTGTGGAGGAATACTTGCGGCCATTAATCCCACTATTAGAGAGTTTTTTCTTTTTACTTGAAATTCTTTTATCCAGTTTTTCTTTGAGAAATGTTTGGCTTTGATTGGTTGAATTCTGGTGCAGGTTTCGACATTATTTACTATTAAATGTAGTAAATTACAACTTTATTTGAAGTATAATTCTTTTGAGTTGGTGTGTAACTGAGGCTTGTAAAAACTAAAAGTACCTGATCAAGGTATTGAAGTTGTTATGGTGATAAAGACTGACATCAGAACTATTTAACTGTTAAACCTGTAGAGTTGAATATTTATGCAAATGTTTACAGTGATCAGTATATCGTTTTATATATACATAAATATATCAGTTGCTTTAGTGTGTATCTCCACCTAGTGTTCAGTTTGGACACTAACTTTTGTTTTGGACCAAGTTGGTTCTTGATATTAAAGTTGAAAACAAAAGTTGGTCACAACCTAAAGTTTTTGTAAATTTTGTACATTGTGTGCACAGATTAACACAAAAACTTAAATTCTATTGAACAGTCAACATTGAAAGTCAAATGTCGAGTAACTTGATGAGGTACTATAATGAATTAAATATCTGTTATATGCATTAGGCCTTTTTATAACAAACTTTTCCTAAAGAATGAATAAATAAATTCAATAAAACCTGTTGTTGCAGAAAATCTGCAAAACACAAAGAAATGATTAAAAAAATCTTGCACATTTTTATTGTTACAAAATCATTCATGCTACGCAACTACAGTCACATTATTTGACAGTAATACTACACAGAAAAGTGCTGTTGTTACTCCAAACTGAGTCCCCCGTATGAGATGAGATGATTATTACCTTATTGCTGTATTATTCTGGGTTAGGAAGAGAGACCAGTCTTCATAAACACAGAGTGCTTACTACCCATTACTCAAGTAGCCTTGTCATAAAATAGCACAATTAAAATATCAGGATAAGAGAAAGAAATAATAATAAAATCACAATAAATAATAATTAGTGTTCAGCTATTGCTGTAAACAAGTTTGCGTTAAATAAAAAAGAATAGGATTGGGGGAAGCAAAAGTCTCATAAGATGCCATTCAAACTGGCATTGTGG